TTACAAATAATGATATTTTGGCTTTATGAGCTTTTACTTTATACGGATGCACCAGCAAGATTTTTTACAGAATATATTATTTAACTTGCACTTTCTGATGATGCTATTTTCAACTTCAAATTCAATGTCTACTAAGCCCCTTGTGCTATATCTACTATGCTTGAGAACCCTTTTGGACAGTATTTGATGACTTGCGAATAGAAGATAGTAGGTTTAACTTGAAAAATGCCATATTTGTAATCAGCACAAAACCTGAGTTGATCTACGTGTGTTTCAAATTGTTTCTAAGACGCTGTTTTGTGTAAATTTTTCAGCCTTGCAACCCCTTACGGATATAAAAAAAACGAACTTCACCAAGACAATAACGACATGTAGACACCTGTGATTTTTCCCTCAGATGGAATTATAAAAGTTCGGAATTGTGTTTTATCATACAAAACGGATTTTCTATGAAGTTCGTTTTTTTATATCCCTGAGGGGGAGCAAGGCTGAATAATTTACACAAAACAGCGTCTTAGAAACAATTTGAAACACACGTAGATCGACTCAGATTTTGTGCTGATTTCAAATATTGCATTTTTTCAAGTTAAACCTACTATCTTCTATTCGGAGGTCATCGAATACTGTCCAAAAGGATTCTCAAGTATAGTAGATATAGTACAAGTGGCTTGGTAGACATTGAATTTGAAGTTGAAAATAGCGTCATCAGAAAGTGCAAGTTAAATAATATATTCAGTAAAAAATCTCGCTGGTGAATCCGTATAAATTAAAAGTTCATAAAGCCAAAATAATCATTATATGTAACCATATGACCCAATCGGAGCGGTATTTGGCGATTCTCCTTTCGAAAAAATTCAAAAGAACTTATTACTTTATATAAAATCTGATAGAGGAAAAAATTCTACGTCGAATGAGCCTATTTTTCTAGATCAGATTTAGATTTTGATGAACTTTGAGGTCAAAAACTGGTTTTTAGGGCTTCTAGAAAGTGGGTGGGTGGGTGTGGGTGTGGATATGGGTGTTGTTCTCTTCTTCAGATACACCCACACCCACACCCTCACCTTCTAAGGAACGTATTCTGCTTGCTGGCAACTATTCTAGTCTTACTAACCTTAAACTTTTCAATGTCAATAAAGAAATGTTTTCACGCTATTTTATAGGTAAGAAATTCATACTCACTGATCTGTTCAAAGGTTGAGATGCAAAAATTATATGATATCTATAATTTTATTGTTGTTTAGACGATTCTCTCTTTCAACATATTTGTAAACAACAAATTACAGATCTTACTCTTATGATTAATGAAAACACTAATGAAATAACAATGAGAGACTATAGGATGAATGTTTATCTAAATATTTTGGCTTACTCTGAAAATTTGAAGCATCTGATATTTTTATCATCATCCATCGACTATTATCCACCTTTGTCATTATATAATTCGCCATCAGCGATTTTTCCTCTTCTACACTTACTAAGTTATGTATTAATGTGAATCATTTTAATGATTGTCTTGCTTTGCTTGATGGTCGTCGTCTCAAGCAATTAACTATATTCATCGTTCGACTTGATTATGCAGGAAATGAGTCATCGATATCCTAAAACATTGTGAGCTTATGCTTGATGATGCTATGATTTTCTACTTAATGCCTAATTTACTTATCAAACAAGGCGAAAGAAAACATTTTATTGTTTATCTTTTATTTGAACTTATTTTAAAATCTTTGAAGAAAAATAAAATGAATGAATTTTAATGAGAAAGCAAACAATCTATTAAATTTTGATAAGTACTAAAGTGATCGATATTGACCTCTGTCTTGCTTCGTATGTGAATCTTTTAATGGAATCAAACCAATATATCTTGAACGAAATTGAAGACATAACTGATTTCCTAATAGACACTTTAGTAAAACAATTTTTTCTTGTTTTAACACATTAACTTATGTTGTGCGAATGAGTGCGCTAATTCATTAGAGGTTTAAGCTTTCAGAGAAAATAATTATTGTAACTGCTATATATATAGTAAATGTTCTGTAAGGTTTTCAAACCAGAGGTCCAAACAGGCCCACTTTTTGAAGGTCTGGCCTGCCTATAACAGGCTCACATCCCTCCTAGCCCACCTGTGCCTGTTCTCTGATTTCCTCGGCCTGGCCTGCCTGCCTGTCTAGGCCTGTGTATTTTTTTCACGTCAATATCATGATAAAAGTACCACAGAAAGAAGTAATAATCTTCATAAAAAGTCGTACTAGTCACTGAATACAATCTACATCACTACATTGAAAAGTCTCTAATTGAAAAGTTCATGAGAATTGTCAGCTTTCCAATTAAGCAAAGGTATCATGCTTTTTTATAATTGAGAGCATATGAAACTAAGAGTAGAACAAAGACTGTTCATTTCCAAAGGTACTTCTAATTAGACGGAGTATAAAAAAGCATAGTTTTCAGTTCACTTACAAAACGTTTTCTCGAAAGAACGATCAATTTCTAGTCAAACTCGCTCGGTGAAAATTGGCATCGTTCTGAATAAGCAAGTAACTTCATTAAAGAGACAGCTACAATGTCTACCTGTAAAAACTGCGGACATACTTCCATGTAAAAAGTAATTCATGTAAAAGTTAGAAAAGATCCATTTTAAATGACTAAAATCATTATTCCTTTATTGATTGTCAATTGGTAGCGAATCGATTACAATAAAAACAAATCAAAGTCAATTCATTATCGATTCCTAATTGATTAAAAATGTATGATGCTACTGAACCTAGAATCAACTTTTTGCATCACTTCTTTTATAAAGACTAGATCTGCATTCATCACAGCATCAGAAAATTTAATTTGATGTATGCTTATTCTTTTGTCACCGCTTAGGAAAACGTTAAGGAATGCTACACCGTGCTTTAGAAAACTGGTAGCTTCGGAGACCTTGAATATTTTTCGTGTAGCTTTCTCTTCTCATACTTTGTAATAAAACATTATATAGAATGTTTTAAGAGAATTTTACGGTATATATCTTTCAACATGGAGTTAGATGACAATTAATGACATTATATAAATAGTGAAATTTCGCACAAAAAGCAATTTATGTCTTCTGGACCATCCGATTTTTAATTTTCTAGGGCCTTGTGTAAGTAAACGTGGAAGTAATTATGGCTGTCTGTATCTAAAAGAAAGGCTATTCTTCAGCTGAATCAAAGAACGCGCAACGCAGTAGGGATGTGTAAATAATATCAACTTCGAACTCTATCCTTTTTCAGAGTTGGTGATGTCTGTGGCTATTGACAATTTCACAGGTACCCACATACGTTGAAAAGTTTCATTACTGATTAAGAATTTACGGACTGAACATTGGTGATACGTAAACGAAATAAAAACAATGCTAACATAGTCAACTTGTGGAAGATATCTGATTTTTGTTTAAAAATATTTTCATTGAATTTTTTATGCCAGATCACAATGTCACTCAAAGTATTGGGATCAAGAGAGAAACAGAATTCAATCAGTGGTAAATCTGCAACAGAAAAAAAGGATTTAGAATCATTTAATTTAACTAAAATTGAGAAACATGGCAAGTAGATAATGATAACTATGAAAATTTGTGCTCATCTTCTCTTCAGAATGGTAAGGGAATTGATCTCCTATAAGCATCTTTAATGCTCATTCCTCAGTATTTGTCTGATTCACCGCGCTTAATTGTGATTTTTTGAAAACCAATGAAGGTTGTATCTATTTGCTAACAAAATCATGAAATTCTCAGATGAAACTTGGATTTCGAAGAAAAAGTAGACAGGCCAGGCGATCTGTCATTTTCTAGCGACCTGCCTGGCCTGTCTGTGAGAGGCGCAGACCTCAAAATTGTGGCCTGTGCCTGTCACAGACAGACAGGCCGGCAGGCCTCGTGGCCTGTTTGGACCTCTGAAACAAGGTTTCTGCCTCATTTGTTTTTTAACAGCTAACAACTGTGTTTTGTTAAGATAAATTCTTCGTTTTCCATCATATCTTCAACGAAAAATTCACGAACAGGAGTTAGAAGACATTGTTGCTTGTGATACACTGCTTTCTTAAGTTTGACTCCATTAGAAAGTTTCGTTCTGATGTAAAATGTTAATCGTTCGTTGTCGCTCTATTCTAGAAATATGTTCCTATATGTTTCCTATTGTGTATCAGAGAAATGAAAATTACAACATGGACTAACTTTCAAAACAGTCAGAAGCTTAGTTTATTTTCATCTCAAGAGATGTACAACTTCTACACATTGTTCTTGCATTTAATCAGATGGAACTTTTCATTTATAGACATTTTCGTTGCGTAAGTAATTTGGTGATTTGCTCTAAGCCATCATATTCGTAATGATGAGGCAGTTTTTATTCTTCGTGTTGTAAAAAAAAAAAGATTTAAAATTAATTTAAATTTAAATGCTACTATATGGTTCGTTTTACATTTTTGATTATAATGCTGATCAAATATAGAATTTAATGTATTGCATATTTACACTTGATTTTCGATAGTAATCGATATTTCGTAGTCGAATGTATATTTTATGCGTTTTCTTTGATTTCAAAGCTTTTGTCTTTTTTCTCTCGATTAAATGACAGACTGTTTATTAGTGTTCGTATTTCTTCTTGTCTATTAACGAATATTTGAATTTCATCCATAAAGAGATCATACAAATCAACTAGTATTGCACTTCGTATCTCATCAATTACATATTCACATTGATGCAACTTGTTTCGAGTCAGTTCACATATCAATGCTTCATTCTGTTTTGTCTTCAATATTGATTCATCGATGTTCCAATATGGGCTCACTGAATGAATCTGCATTTCGTCTTCGCTTGCTGTAACGAGGTTTCGTTCTAATTCCGGCGTCCATTCACATATTTCTGATAATATCCTTTTCTGTATTGCAATCTGTACGGTATTACTGTTCAGTATATTGTCTAGGATTGGTTTATACTTTAACTCATCAAAAATACTGATGTTTTGCCCGTAGATTTCCGCTGGTACTTATTTCAATACTGTACCTAGTAAAGATTTGTACATATTTTCTAATATTGTTTGATAAAAATGTTCGAAATTTTTATCTATATCGTACAACTTTTTACGACAATCACTGAAAAAATTATAATCTTTTTTCGGCTTGAAGCATATCACGAGTTTGTTGCAAGAGCAGCGCCTGAAAGTCAAACCCAAACGGCGTATGGTACATAAATGACGATTGACATCCCAAACATGAAATTTACAGTCATTGGTGAACGCATTCAAATTCCACACAAAATAATTGTCTCTATGAGGATTAATATGAGTACTTGTTATGATCGATGTTTCATATATTTCTTTTTCTGCTCTCTGTTCAAGTCGATTCAAATATTCTAATAAGGATGGACAATATATAGAAAAGTAATTTTGGGAAATTTTATGTACATGATAACGAAGATTTGTTTCAAATAATTTGTGAGCACTAAGAATAAACATAATGAACCAATAGATTTGATCGATCTCATGCCGATTTCGAAAATCATATTCTTCTTTTGCCATAGCAATAGCGAATCGAACAGTCATGTCTTGAATATCAGATAGTCTACAAATAAATTGATATATATCTAATTTATCACCAAATTCGAAATTCCAGAAAAAACTTAAATTAACTTCTTCCAGAGTTGGATTTCTTTCAGATCGAATAGCTAGGAAATCCAAAAGAGCAATAATAGCCAAAATGTTATAATATTTAGGTAGATGAGTAAATATTTGTCGTATCGAATGAAATGAAATTGAATCAAGAACAAATAGAAAATGTTGATAGTCAATGCGAGAATCGAGTAAATAGTGTCCTTCATCGACTTTGATGGAGTCGAAACTAGGCCCAGCAGAAACCAATGCAGTCAAATATGGAATTTTTTCAATTTGATATTCATTTAGTGTCAAAATTTGACCTGAACTAAAACGAAATGTTTTCGTTGTTGTAGGTGACTCATCAATGTGGTCGTTCATTAGAGATCTATTTTCAAAGCTCGAAGATAATAGTTGATTATTGTTTTAAGCGTAAATGAATATTTCAAGTTGACGAGGTAAATTTACAAAAAATAAATAAATAAATGCAGCGTCAACAGGATTTCATTTGCAAATAACAATGTAACATGAGTTTTTTTGAATGAGTGTAAGATAAAAAGAAATTTGTTCTCATTTCAATATGAGTATGCAATAAGTGGTTAACAATGTTTCGTTCTTATCTTTTGAGACAGAAATTGAAAATATCTAAATAAGAGCAACCTGCGCCCTTTCTTCTACTCTTCTTCGTTCTCTTCATCTTTACTTCCAACTTCTAGGGCCATCATTTATCTTTTGCTCAGAGTTGTACAGATATAAAGTGTGACATACAAAAGTATACTAATTAATCGAACAGAAATGACTCTTCTAATTAGATAGATGATATTATATATGTTCTGAGGAGCATAAGAAAAGTGTTTTGTTTATTATTTCGCTTCTTTTATCTTTTTTTTATTTGATAGTAAACCTAAAAAATGATTCACGGTTGTATTATGGGGACCCTTAGCATGACGTATAATAAAAGCGAACAAAATAGGGAAAAAAAAGAAAGCACTTGGCTCGATGTCGTTTTATGAGTCATTGAGACAGATTCACGGGATGCTTTGTTTTTTTCTGCTGTTATACAGAATCAAATGACAAATCTTTTGGTGAAAGTTTTTTCGCAATTTCATGGCTATGATGCTAAGAAATGTGAAAAATACTGTTAGGTTCATTCTTGATCGCATTTCAGATACTTTTCTACTTTAATTAATATCAATAGATGCATCATGTTTTCAAGTTTCATACGTAACGCCAATAATTTCGAACAAAAAGTTCTGATTTTGCAGCTTTATAGAAGGAAGCATACATGAAAACATATTCTTGAGAAAGAAAATAAGAGAGTGAAATCTTCACTCTAAATATAGCTGTAATTGACTTTAAATGACTATAACAAAAAGATACTTCAAAGCCAGCAATCATCTGATCTTGTTTGCTTTAGCATCTCAATAATTTTCAAATATCTTTCAAACGAGCAATTACTCATTAAAATCGTTTTTAATTGAAATTTGACAGTGTATCTCGAACTAAGAACACTTATCGTTTCCCTTCGTCTAGGACAAAAAGGCGGCATTATCTCGATGAATGACAAGTTTCATCATAGAGTACATTTCGCAAAAGCTCCAAAGGTTTGATCTGTTTATTTGTCGACATAGGCGAATGTGCAATAATTCGATTATTGTCCATTGTTCGTAATAGTCGTGAATGAGTCATGAAGTGTAAAGGAAACTAACGCTGTGACACATTGACTAACTGAGATTTCAAATGATCGATGAATGTCTTCGAGTTTGCTTGAACATTAGCTTGTTAGTATTCCTTCTGCATCACAAACAATTTATGAAAGATAAACACCCTTAATTCAAGTTTATCTGCATGTCGCTAAAGTTCATGTTGTCTAAAATAAGTATTGACCTTGATCTTATTGGCACCCACAATTACATCCATACAAGAGAGTCCTTTTGAGTTCTGTGAAGATGTCAAATGATGAAATAGCTTGTTCTTGTACTCTTCAGTGTGTAAGGATCAGTCATTTGACATTAACTTAGAGAGAGCTACGATGAATATAAAATTACAGCGAGATATAGCCTCCGAGTATTTTTTTGCTTATGAACGCATTTCATCACACCATAGTTTCAGCACAACATTTGTCTTTTCTACTGCAAACATCAATCGAATCGTAATCCCTCTGTTGTATTGTCGCGTAATAATGAGTAATGCGAATACTGTACATGATTTTGAAAGGTTTTAAGTTACTCATTGATGAATCCAATCAAATGTCAAAAGTGCATCGGACAATAATAACATGTCAAAATCTTATTAAATTTAATGATTTTCATGATTTCAACCTTGCCACAGTTAAACCTCAATAGTAGACAGAACTGTATTCAGTTGTTATTACAAAATCTATTCTCCCATGTTTCTGCCTCGAGAGCTCCTCTTTAGCATCTTAGCTCTTAGTAGTTGCTGCATATTTGTCATCTGCCAAATAGTTCATACTCCAGAAGCTGAAAACTACTACTATTCGAATAATGTGACAGAAGCAACAAGAAAATTCGTAGCCGCCTG